AGTCAGACATTCAGTGGGGCAGAAGAACAGCTGGAGCCTGTTCCCAGTGTGAGCATACGCAGAGTTGCCAGACGAAGGTAACAGCTAAAGAACAGGGGTCAATTGGGAGGAAGGCCACAGGTGGACGATGAAGGGCCCCTCCCAGGGGAAATAAAAGAGGAGCGAAAGGGGAGTGGAGTTTGCAGGAGACCATTAGTTCGCTTCATTGGTTTGTGACTCTCAAAGACTCCTTGCCAAGTACAGCATCGTGTTTTGAAGATCTCGGCCTGGCAGCTCTCCAAGCCAGATAAGGTCTGTGACTGTAAATTCACCCTTGAAAGACTTTGCTGGATGTGACTGAGAGGAATTCACAGTCAGTTAATAAAAAGGGATTTTGTCGGGACAAGGAGGTTCGTGGTTTGGGGAAGCCTAGGTCAGAACAATTCTGTGACACAAAACAAACACACATACCCACCCATATCTGGGCTCTTCGGTATTCAAATTATTTTGTAATTTCTCATACTAGTGAAGCTGGCAAAACTCTCCCCTTGTTTTGGAGCCATATTGAATTACGGGCACGGATGAGTGGTGCGGTGGCCTAGAGGTGCAGCTCTTGCAATCAGGAGGCTGTGAGTTCGATCCTAGGTAGAGGCAGATATTTCTCTCTCTGGATACAATGAGAATACTGCATTTTTCGGAGTATTAGACGCACCCTTTTCCCTCAAAAAAGAGGCTGAAAATCTGGGGTGCATCTTATACATTGAATAGAGCATTTTTTGCCTCCAGAAACCCCGCCCCTTCGCCAAAATGGCCGTGCATAGCCTTTAGGACTTCCAGGGGTTGGGGAGGGCAGATATGAGCGACAAATGCCCCTCCCCAGCTCCCAGGAGCACTCTATAAGCCTCCTAAAGGCTATGCATGCCCTTTTTTTGACAAAAAACGGGGCCGTTTTCATGAAAAACGGACCATATTTTGCTCGTTTGGGGGGGCACCCCCCCCCAGGAGCACTCAAGTCTCCTAAAGGCTATTCATGCCCTCTTAGGAGGTCTGCAGTGCAAAAAAAAGTTTTTTTTTAATTTGCCTCTTCAAAACCTTGGTGTGTCTTATACTCTGGTGCGTCTTATACTCCAAAAAATACGGTATATCTGCTAACTATAACTCCGCATTGGCAACAGGAAGGGCATTCAGCCAGTAAACACTCCGCTAGCTCCATTCAGTTGCCCAGACTTCACCCCGCAAGGGATTATGGGGTCGTTAAAAGATGATGATGATTTAGAAAATCATCCACTTGCTTTGAATCATTTATGGTGGTGCTGATGACGCTACCTAGTTTGGTAACGAAACGTCTGCAAGAAAAACCTCCCAGCTCAGAGAGCACCAAGGACCCAACAGGAAATAATAATATCTCACCAAACCCCAAATGGTGCCAGGAGAGGTAGCAATGATAGTAGCCGCTCGAGGTGTGTTGTACATTAAAGCCAATTCGCCAAAACTCCCTCGGTTGTCATAGGTGCCAACGCATCTTCCGACACCGTCGCAATTCACGACGATGTTGTAAGTCCCTCTGAAAAGCGCAAAATGGAACCTAGATGTGACGGCCAGCATTGGAAAATGGCAATATCTGCATTGTTAAAAAGTATTAAATCCACACAGCCAAACTTTTGAGGGGAAAATTCCCTGTAAGGTTTACCAACTTTGCAACATCTACAGAAAGAGAGTCCTTGGCTTAGAGCCGTAATGGAGGAGGTGTGTGCATGGCCGTCGTAACTCTGAAAACAGGCCACAAATAACTCTTGAGGAAGCTCCATCATAACTTTGAGTGGTTTTTTAAGCAACTGGTTGTAAGTCAAGGATTATCTGCCTACATACAAATGCCCAACAGAGCATAGTTTTCACCCCATTCCTGCAATCTAAGGGAGGCTCTGTACACGTAGTCCTCAACTTATGTCAACAATTGAGCCCCTGGACAGTGCGACTGTCATAACAGTGAGTCGGTTGCCAAGCACCTGAATGTAAACCACGCAAGCATGGGGATACTGCCACCGTGGCACGACAAAACCACGCTCGTCAAAATAGCGGTGATAAAACCGCGTCGCTAAAGCCACGACGTCATCACCGCATGTCATCACCGCCGCGACAACAGCACGGCGACAGAAGGGCGCTTTAAAACAGCGCGGCGGCAGAAAGCCGATTTAAATTAAGGTAAGGGTTAGGATTAGGTTTAGGGGTTTGCTTTAGGTTTAGGTTTAGGTTTAGGTTTAGGTTTAGGTTTAGGTTTAGGTTTAGGTTTAGGTTTAGGTTTAG